ATAGTCAGTCAAATGCCGGCGCAGTCGGCGGTTAAGAGGCCCATGCTCTGGTGTATGTCTCCTTCCGTCGCAGTTTTGACCGCGCCATCCACGAAGCGTAGATCGTGGATAGACGCGTCAGGGCCTGCGTGCGTCCGGTATTGGGAAGACGACCGTCGGTCTTCTGGACGATGCGGATCCCGAGGCACTCTTCACTGTAGGCGTCCATCAGCACGACACGGAACGGGAGACCGGAGAGGGTGGGGGGGGAGAGGCGAGTACGCAGCCCTGCTTCTTTCCGTTACAAAGGCTCCCGAGACAGTCCCATTGTCCGTGATGGGCACGATCATCCCATCGTGGAGCTAACGCACCATATGCATGAATCACTCAGGGCAGCCGAATTTCTGCATGATTTCCCAAAGTTCATTGCGGTTCATCGTGTCGATGGGCTTTTGTCAGGTTCAGGAACGTGGTTCAGAGATGGATTCACACTTTCTGACCTTTCCCTTGCAGCTGGCGGACGAAAAATATCGTGTCAGTGGTCTCGCACGTAATGACGGACGAGTATTGAATCCATGAGGGCCTGAAAAACCTTGTCTACGGCGCCGCATGTTCTGAAGTAGCGTTGTACGTTTCTTCATCAGTCGGAGGCTGCCGAGCTTGAAACTTCGGCGGGGATCATGTGGGATCCCGGTGCTTTTCCGCTAGACAGCTGGCGCACAGCTCTGATTGTTTCTGGGAAGGAATGCAGGAAGTCCACGTCATTGCTTGTTCCCACTTGGGAGAGCCGGTCGCTGGCGCTGTAGGAGATCGTGGATGGGTGGTTGAGGACACTTATGAAATGCTCGACCCGACGCTTCTGAATCTGCGTATTCCCCGTGAGGAGTGTTGTTCCGAGAGAGCTGAGCAGTAGGACGGCTCCTTTGGCTGTGGATCCGTAAGTCGTTTTAATTACAGTGAAGAAATTCATTGTTTGATTGGAATCCGCATGCCCTTTTATCCCCATGCCATAATAACTACTCAGGCGTCCTCAGGCATCACTGGGGCAGTGCGCTGGGTACGCAGACGACCAATGAGGCCTATGCTTGCCCGAAATGCCCGTTGACAGCATTTACGCGATGACATGGATTGAGCGTTTGCATCGTTGATCCTTAGTAAGTTGGTCTTGCGGCTCTCTCTTTTTGTGTGGGCATCAGCTATTCGTTTGGCTTCAAATTTGGCTTTCTAGTCTCTACGGCAGTTTGTCATGGCTGTCGATCCTGAGCGAGTTCCTCTCAAGTCCTCGGGTTGATTTGGAGGTGACTGAGGCAGGGCTCTAAGATGACCGTTTATCGACTCTTGTTCGCCTTCCCTGCGCCCAACCCTTGCAACGTCGCTGTAGAATAGCAGCTGACAAGGCGTTCATCGTCTGTCTCCGCGACGTGGCCGCTCATCAGTTGATGGTCTCTTCGCATACTGTTGACGGACGGTGGAGGACGGCCTGAAAGCGCACAGCTCAGCGCTCCAGAAGTTACGAATTCTCCGTCAGGAAAGTTGCAGCATCGCGGTTCATCAGTGGCGACGTCCTCCAGGTCTGTATACCGTACCATGATCTGCATATCCCTGAATGCCCTAAGCTTTGCATTGGGATAGTCATTCCCTGGTATTAGGCATCGCTGTCTTAAGTATGTGGCTTTATTGCCCTACTATTGCTGCTGCTGCTGCTACAGTAGGTGGGATAACACATGAATAGCCATCCGAAATTCTGAAATGCGTTTTCGTTCCGCAAAGATTAATAAAGTAGAGTTGGAGAACTAATCATCAAGCAGCATAATTCTAAAATAATCCAGTTACCGCTGGGTGCCGTTTTTCGAATGAACTTCTTTCCGACTGCATGCAAGAACTATACTCTGCAAAAAATAAGTGCTTAAAATGCATGCAATTTTCTCCTTGATTTTCGATGCCCTTAAAACTTTAATTATAGTTCATGGAAAACATGCATAAAAATATTCATTCTTTCATCCTTTCGGTAGAAATGTATGTCTGCTTCCAATTTTATACTCGAAGGAAGGGTATGATTCGGTTTTCAAAGACTTTTCCAATTCCCGAATAATTTTGAACACGACCTGCCGTTACGCTCGCATTCAGGGTTTCCAAACTACAAACCGTATATTTTCCGCGTACGGAAAATCATGCGTTTCTCTATGGTATTAACAGGATACCACATGGTGTTCGTAAAATTCGGCAGTGAATTTGAGACATGTTGTTAACTTTATGATCCACATTAGAAAATGCAGAGACGACGTCTCATGAACGGCCACTTCACGGTATTAGAAAATTCTACAATTAGAAACGTTTTAAAAACCAAATTATGCTTGTATTTTGAGTACAAAATTGGAAGAAGACGCAATTTTCTACCAAATGAATGAAAGAATGAATATTTTTATGCAGTTTTTTCCATGAACTATAAATGAATTTTTTAAGGCATCGAAAATCAATGAAAAAAGTGCAGGCTATGGAAGTAGTCCTTTTTTAGAGAGTATAGCTTTTGCATGCTGCCGATAAGAAATTCGTTTAAAAGCCGGCATCCTGGAGTAACTCAATTACTATAGAATTATGCAGCTAAAGGATTAGTTCTCCAACTCTACTTAATTAATCTTTGCGGAACGAAGACTCATTTCGGAATTTCGGTTGACATTTCATAAGTTGGCACACCTACTGTACTGTTGGTCACGTGCAGTCTGTCTCACGGAGAGCAGAATGTGGTCTTCTTCGCCATTGTCATCGAGCCGGTTTTGCTACTAACGCCTTCGCGGCTGAGAGTTTCCATTATGGTGGCCTGGACGTTATTCCGCAGCTCCCTCCATTGCGTTTTGGCATTCGTATGCGCCTCCAGGATTTGCATTTGTTCCAGGTTCATGCAACCGCAAAGAATCAGTCGACGCATCAAATAGTACAATTTTTAACTTATCCGTCGCCCAAGCGGTTGTATTTAGAGTCTCATCTTAAAGATGAAAAGTGTCCATCCGTCCAGCACTCGGTATCCAACATCGACATAGTCAACAGCACGTCATGCTGGTCACGCCTCCAAACTAGGACACAGTTCAGTAGGTGCCAGTGACGCTGTACTCAAGTCATGCTGTCGTGAGTTCGAATCCTACCGAGGTCGCCAAGTTTTTCATAAATGGATGAAATTAAGTACTTAACAATCATAAAAAGAGCATTACGTAAACACACTCAAGCGAGTGGTTTAAGGATGTCCATTAGAGCACGTTGAACGCGAATTTGTTCGCGGAGAGTGGCAGCCTCATGGTCCTGAGACGATCATTGACGGTCTGTGTCAGGCAGGACGGTGGTTTCACGACGTCGTTCCTGATGGCTAAGGCGACTCCGGCCTCCCATGGCTCTGACCTTCGCATATCCATTCCAGAAGAAAATGTATCCGACACCAACTTCCTTACGAAGGCGGGTTGCACTGAGAGCCGTACTGTGAGCGAGGGACCAGAACCGCCCTCCTTTGCGGCGAATTTGCCACTGGATTTCCTAAAAGGGAACAAGTATGCCAGGCTTCCAGAGTCAACAGTGTTGTTTTGGAAAGTCTGTGGGGAGGCACAGTGATTTCATGTGACCCTCAATTCAGAACGCTGTTGTCTGGGGGGTGAAGATGGGTTTGAGATTGGTTCAAGGCCGCACGGCTGTGAAGACTAGCACATATCGGTGACACTCATCTGGTTTAGCACACCGGTGAAGGACGTTTGCCGGGGTGTGGCCGTCATGCGGAGGATGGATTACTGGAGCTGGGTGACGGCACGAGCCTAAGCAGAAGCATCTGACCAGACTCATCGATGTGTTCGGCGGCGACTGTGCATGTACTGCACACAGACATTTCCTACTACCCTCTTCGTGTCTGCACCACCAGGCGCCACCTATGCCATGTCTTTGCGCAGCGAAATTGCTAGCGGTGCACGTGTACTAGTCTGCGTACGGTTGCACAACCTCCATCCCAACTGCCTCCCAGCCCACGCACCGCTACGGTCCACAACTGCACCTGCCGGAGATCAGACACTCCACATGCTACGGCGAGACAGTAGGTTAATCTATCAGTGGTTACAGTGTGGTGTGGCTTATCCCCAAGAAGATAGACTGGACCCTTTTTATTTAATACTACCCAGTCACTTAAACCTTCCGCGAAAGTACATAATGACAAGTTTTAGAGAGATCTTTGAAAGCAAGCAAGGACAGCAGCATTTAATGGTACCAGAAAATTTCGCGACGGCTTCTCAGCTGCAGCCTGTCGTTGCATAACAAAAAGAACACGTGAGAAAGGTACGGATGTTTGATGATGATGCTGGATGATGGAATTCCTTGCCTCAAAACAGTCCTGGTTGAACGGGGATATCCAACACGATTCATTGAAAAGTACAGCAACACTTTACGGCCCAAATCTGTTCCGAAAAAGCCCGTTATAATATTCTTACACTTTCAGGGCGACAACATCTATAATACCATCAAGCGGCGATTGAGATGCGCTATTGAAAGAACTTACAGCTCAGCTGAACTCATCTTCTGCAGTCCTACTAAGGCTATCGAAATTCCACGGGCGGAGGATGCCTTGCCATTGCACGCCACGTCAAATTGTGCCTACGAATTAACATACATTTGTGGAAACAAGTACATTGGGCGAACGCAAAGGCAACTGGCAGCCAGAACAGTTGAGCACCTGCCTAAATGGCTTCTACAGCAGGAGAATAAGATTCCACGGTCTTCTATTACAAAACATCTCCTTGATAGTGGCCATTCGGTTGACCCCAAAACGTCTTTTCGACTATTAGTTCGAGCACGAACTACTCGGTTATTGCGCTACCTGAAGGCAGCCTATATACGGCGGAAGAAACCCGACCTATGTAAACAGTCAGACCACGTGGTCAACCTCAGCCTGCCCTGGTAGACCTAGGCCCTTTTTGATTTTCGAAATCCCTCAGCATGTTTACTTCCCCATTTTCATTCCTCTATTGCATTCTGAAGTTATCGTTTTACTGATTAGTCTACGCGCAGTACACGTTGACCTTGTTGTTTTATATTGATTTTCTCTGTCGAAATTCAAACATCTGTACCTTTCTCACTTGTTATTTGTGTTATGCAACGACGGGCTGCAGTTGAGAAGCCGTCGCGAAATTTGCTGGTGCCATTAAATTCTGCTGTCCATGCTTGCTTTAAATTCATTCCGGGGAAATATTGCTTCAAGAGATCTTTTAAGTGGAGGGCTTTTATTTTCAACAAAGTGCGACATTCCCGCGCCACCACCATGATGCTAACTTCTGTCATTATGAGATCACGGCAAAAAAATTGATTTGAAAAGTCGGTTGGCAAACATATGTTTTCAGCAACTCATCATCAGACCAATACACTTACATGGGTAACGATCTTTTTAATTGCAGACAGGATACAAATGCGTCTCAGGGACATTGTTTGCTTAAACACGTCTGTTTAATCCCCCTCTTTATTCACGATGCCATACTAAAAGAGCAAGTCGAAAGAAAAACTCGGTCCCATAAATTTTGCTGAAGCGAGGGTAACCATTTAAAAATGCATTCAAATATCAAACGAAACTTATTTTGACATTCGTGCTTCTACTTGTTCGTGTTGGCAGCAGCTTCTGGACGAGAACAGACTGAAGATTTAAAACAGGCCTTGACAAGACATTAAGGTAATAGTTGCGATTTCTAATGGAGTTTAAACTAGGTTTTATGTTAATACACGAAGGTTTCTTAGTTATCTATAGTATGTATGCATTGCTTTGTAGCGCCCTGTAGTTCTTCTTAGTATTTTCGTGTGTTTACGACCCAAAAGTAGTATTAATGTGTCATTTGATTTTCTCAAGAATGTCCTCTAAAACATGCGGACACGGCAAATCAGCAAGACGTAAATTAAAAAGTACTAGCTATATGAGGAATTTGATACTACCCGGACTGATCCCAGTTACTTGAACTTTCCGCAAAATTACATAATGACCAGTTTTAGAGAGATCTTTTAAATGGAGGGGTTTTATTTTCAACAAACTGCGGCATTCCAGCGCCATCACAATTATGGCATTAACTTCTGCCATTATGAGATCATGGTAAAGAAGATTATTTGACGAGAAAGTTTGTTAGAATACCCTCTTCATTCATGAAGCCATACTAAAATAGAAACTAACCAAATTTCGGTCCCATAAAGTTCACTGAACCGAGAGTAAACGTAGAAAAAATGCCTTCAAATATCGAGCGAAATGTTTTTTTGACTTTTGGGGTTCTACTGATTCGTCTTGTCAACAGCTCATGGACGAGAACAGAGTGAAAGTTTAAAACAGGCCTTGAGAAGTCAGAAAAGCAATATCTGTAACTTCTAATGGATTTTGAGAATAGGATTTATGTTAATAAACACAGGTTTGTTAAGTATCCATAATATTTATACATTGTTTTGCAACACCTTGTCTTGCTTTTTAGTACTTTCGTTCGTTTATGACTCAGCATTGGTAGTAACGTGACATTTAATTTTTTCAATAGCGTCCCCTTATTTCCGCGAGCACGGCAAATCAGCAGACATAAACTAAAAATTACTAGCTATATGAGATTTCAAGGCTGCTATGTTAGAATGTGAGCCCACTCCTTCATACATGATTGAATGTTGACCTACCATAGAAGAGTAGATCAAGTAAAACACATCGTACCCACCACCTTCTGCATTTGCTTTTGCCAGCCATTCACACTCGAATACTTTCCATCTGGGGGAAAAGTCAATAAATACGACTTTGTGGGAATATCGCAAGAGGTAACATTAATAGGTGTTTTAGTAGACGTTGAAAAGTTTATTCGCACAAAACTGGGAAAAACTCTGCGACCTAGGTAGGATTCGAACTCACGACAGCAAGGGGAGGGCTTGAGTACAGCCAGCGCTCTAGCCACCTGAGCCACAAGGCCCCACTGGGAGCCGTGAGTTTAATCACATTTGAGTCAAATTATCAGTCCCGCCTACTGTAACGCATGGAATCCACCAAATCTGATACAGTAAGCTGTCTGCCCAAGCAGAATATCCTAAGTAATCCACCTAGAACCACCAGATGGCAACCAGGCTCACGTAATAGATAGGTGTTTTGGCAGATTCCAAATAAGTTATTCTGACTTAACTATGAGGTAGCATTCTTTAAACCGTCCTTCCTCTTCTGGCAAATGCTCTGTGTCGTGAACTGGCCTGCCATAAGCGACAACCAATAAGCATATCGCACGACCGCATTATTAGATTTTAGTTTGAAATCCTTGGTTTAAGACGGCTCTAAAACTACTCCCGTTTTCATGTAGCAGAAGAGAAATTTTCTCTCCTCGAAGTCAAGTAGAAATCGTGGAAATATTTAAGCGCGTCAGACTTTCTCCTTTCCTTATGGGAGTTTTCGAAATTCCCCTGCATATACTACTGGTCGCTATACGACTGCCTGCGCGGGCCCCATACGGAGCCCCGGGGTGCAAAGCGACGAGTATCTCCAGTTATCTGATTGGCTACGCCCTCCACACAATACTTAGCATTCCCAGTCGCAGCTGAGAAGGCAAAAGGCCCATGGCTCAATAGTAAGGAGTTGGACTGCTTAACAGCGGAATTGACTTTTGTGGACGCCTAAACAGGACATGGAAATAGGAACGACCCGAATCCTACCCTAAAACTTGACTATGCAGTTAACGTTGACCCCTCCCTTAACCCTAAACTCGATTCCGGCCACGTAACCGTTAACACTAAATCACATCTTAAACCTAGTCCCAAATTTAACCCTGACTCTTACCTTACACTTAACCGTAATTTCACTCGAAGTTTGCTCAAAACCACCTGTGTTGTAGACGGTTTCTGTCCTCATGTACTATTTAGACGTTCACATAAGTCAATACTACCTACGATTTTATGAGAATTCGCTGGGTTTATTAAATACCACATCTCATACCTGATTTAAAAGATACTTCCAGAAGCAGTAGACGTTCTTAACTTGAGACTACTTTAGCCCTGATATCTGCAAATGAACAGGAGGGTTAGGAATGGTAGGAGACGTGTACTCTGATTACGTTTCATAATCTACAGATTTTACTAATCATCAAGATCAAAGAATCGGAAGATTCGCATGCACGCGACGTTTCTATTTTAGTACAAAGAAGGCACATGGGTTACTTAAGCATACTCCGAAATCTTACGCAATCCGCTTATATTTTACCAATTAAAATCAATTTCGCAGAGTTGGGAAGGGCTGTAATACTCCGGAAGGAACGACAACAAAAAAGATGTGTTGATTCGCAAAGGCGAAGGTGACAGAATGGTATTTTGTGGAAACGCAAAATGAGTAACCTTTTAAAGCTTTGAGTCTTGTCGCCGTTGGCACTGGCATTAAGACGGGTATTGACTAGAAATTAAAGCCGCGGGTGAGCATTAAATCGGCACAATTTATGCGTCTGCTGGGATGCAAAGGCTCGCTTGTTCGAGTAGTGCCTTCAGGGCGGGATTTGGGGTTAGAAGCGACACTTTGGGTATACTTTTGGCATTAAACCTGGATCTGTCATGGATCGCTTTGACAAGAGAATGTTGACACTTGCGACGAATTAAATCACTCTACACTTTTTAACTGAAGTCTACCGCCGGAGTTGGATCAGCTAGTCAACAGTATGACCTAGTTCGCATCAGACGCCGAGGTTCTACTCACTGTGGCCGCGGTTCGTGGGCAACATTTTACTTATTATCGACGAGTGGGTTTCACACACACACCATATAGTCGGCCGTTGAGTTCAGTTCCCATAGGCAATAAATGATTGAGAACTATTATCACCAACGTTTCCGTCGCCATCAGTAAGTCGAACGTCAGGAACTGCTGACGCCAGCTCATGAGTCAGAAATGTCGACACTGCTTGCCAATAAAAACTCATCGTCATATGACCGCCAATGAGGACACAAGGTGGCGAGACCATTTCACAACCTTGTAAGTGAACAAACCCCCTCCCCCCCCCGCCCACAGCTGCGAATTTATTTTACACAGTTTTAGCGCAGAAGCAACTAAAATAGTAGCTACAAGTTAAAATTAGAGGATTGAGTAGAATGTTACGTCATTGTCGGCAGGGGGCTCTGCACTTTCCGCTCTCGAGCGACACTGTTGGGCTGAAGCCGGAGATATCTTGGCGGCTGGATGACAAGACCTTCGTGGGACTTACGGCTCTGCACTAGCAGCTGAATTACGGTAAGCATTTTACTCGCATCATTGTGTTTATCCAGGCACGTAGGAGTCGAGTATGAGAATCTGAGGGCCCTGCCTCTTCGAGATGGGCATGAACGTACGCTTAAGCACAACGGTGACGGCATGTGAGGTGTAACTGCACCCACGCGACGTCCTTCAGCGGGCAGGTTTTCTTGCCTCAATAAAGTAGCCTTTGGAAACATTGCGTGGGAGACAGACTACGCCCCAGATTGGTGTGGTTGAGGCGATAATTTCTCCGCAGGAACTCCCGTGGTATCAAAAAACCCCTCATATCGTTTAATGAAGTTAACTGTGAACGTGTCTGAGGGCCGTCTGCACGCGTTCGGTTTATGATTATTTAATTCTACATTAACAGCACTTATACGGAAAAAAGTCTGTTTGTGCAGATGTGTCTATCGCCAGGATGGTCGTCGGCTCACTCCACGATGTCAGCCGCTCGGTGTGCTAGAAATTACTTTCTCTGGCAGGCAGTAACGTCTCCGCACCTTCCCCCCAGGACTTCCGCTGTTCGACTTCCGCAGCATGATTGCACATTCCACCCGTACTTCAGCTCTATTTGACACCTTACTCTAAACCAGTGGCTTCGCCCATTGGAGGCGGGATCTCCGATGGGCGTCGCCGAAGAATGGGTGGCAGTGTTAGGGCCCAGTTTGGAACAAACCAACTCAGACATAATTCTGACATGACACGACATCTGTTTGGCAGGACGCCAGTGTACGTCCAGACTTGCCGGAATCGGCGTTCCGTGTTTTTCGATTTGGCAGATTTGTCGTCGATTTGCATCTAAGAGTCCCTCCGTACGACGGAAGATCAGTCAGTGTCAGACCGAAATGACCTTTTTGGTAATATCGCCCCCTCGGCACCTCTTACTTCTGTGATTTGAAAGCCCATGTATGACACGCACTGTACGTGAGCTGCTAGCCTTCCTTCCGAAAAAACTTAGCACAAGATGCGGAGACCAGGCCGGTCGTGGCACGCGTAGACGGCATCTTTAACTTTGTCAGCCACTGTGCTCGATCCCACAGTCTTGCCATCGGAACCAGGTGAGTGAAGGAGGAGTGGGCGTGGCAGATGCAGTGCAAGTCCGTCGAACGCATTCACGTGCAAATTGCCGATGTCGCGCCCATTCTGTAGAGCGCATGGTGGCTGTCGTCGCTCTCGAAACGCCGAAGGTATCACGTCGGGCACTGAACTCTATCTCGTTTTCAGTAGTCTTGACAAGGACGATTCATTGACATACGCAAGGGACAAACGCGGATGAAAGTGACCCTGCTCAAATCCAGCACTTCATTTCCTGCGACCAAATTGCTAAGAGAATGTTGCGAAGTATTATCAGTCGCGACTTGCAGGACCGGTGAGATAACTCTGCTACACCGAGGCCTTGGTGTCAGACCTCAGTAGGCCTTTTTAACTGCGGTCTGATGTGTGTGTGTGTGGCCTCAAAACGGGACACGCGTCAGATGCGTTGGATCAACACAGGGACCGTATCGGATTCTGGCAGGCGTTATCGGAATGCGCTCCCACAACAAATGCCGGCAGATGGAGTGAGGTGGGAGGTCGATTTGCCGACTCACGTCGCGCAGACTGGGATCCCTATCGCCTCCCCTCCCATTTTGGTTGTTGACTAAAATCCTGGTCAAGCGTTGCGTGGACCAGAGGTGTGGAGTGGAGAGCCAAGTTGCAGGCTGAGCCGCGTCACCCATCTGCGCCCACCTCCTCGCCCCCGTGCTTCTTGAATTTGTCTCGACACCTAGCCCAGCCGGGTTGGGAGGTGGAGGAGGGAGTGCGATAGATGCTGCGCAAGTCTGTTTACTCACGCATAAGTCACCGTGCCTGCTCTCAGCTCGCTATGGAGCACACGGTGGACGCCGTCGGGCACGAGGGCTGAACTGTCTTTTGTATATGTATGTGAATTAGATAATCAACTCGTGTAAGGTGCATGGACACTGATCCCTTGAGCTCTGCTGGCCACTGCACTCACGAATACATCCGCTGTCTTGACTCCCTCCTGTCGGTAAAACCCTGGGGCGTGGGACAAGATTTTGAGGTGCGTTCAGCGTCATTTTATTTTGTACTCAGTGCGTATACCCGTCTCGTGTGGCAATCATGAACTTCGTCAACACTGGCGGTCGAAATATCGATGCTTGAAGAATCAATTGGCAAGCATATGTTTTCGGTTATTCATCATCAGGCCAGTACATTTACATGAGAAATGATCAGTCTAATTGTCGACAGGATATAAATGTGTCTCGGGAGCAGGGTTAATCAGACTCCACGTTCCCACGCCACCCGCATGACGGAGTCAACGTGTTGAGAACGGTGGAGTTGGGGTGGGAGGGAGGGGAGGAAGGAGTTGGGGTGGGAGGGGGGAAGTAGAGGGATTCCGATTAGATTGTAAGCGCTGTGAGTGCGTGTGACTGCTGTCAGTGCGTCGGGACGGCGTGCGATCACCCTCTGGAGTCGGCCAGGGCAGAAATACTGCTTGTGTCAGCGTCTTCTGACAACAGAGTAGAATAGAATAGGTTTAGGATAGGTTTATTGTAGCGCCCCTTGGGCACTGTCAGTCCCCTTTGAACTCGAAATCGATCGATGTTCACCTCTACCTAGCCAGGCAGGCATGTGTTCGCGTATTCTCTTTTCCCGACTACCTGGTCAATATATCCTGTACAAAACACGCTCCGCGAAAACGGCTATCCAGAGCGACTCATCCTCCGGAATATGAGAGAGCGTGCCACAAAACCTGCCGTTGCAACTGCAGAGAAGAAAGACTTACTTCTAAGACCGCCTTCTCTAGGAGACGCAGCGATCGAATTAGTGAGACATCTTAGGACAGCTCTCGCGAGTGCCTTCCCCGCGGCGTACTTGCGCGGATTCTTCGCAAACTCCCCCTTCTACGGTTGGGGGTGGGGGGAGGCAAAGACCGGCTGCCGTTACAGGCTACATCCATGTGTATTTATTCATTCACGTGCTCCTGTGGAGCGGAACATATTGGTCGTACAACCAGGCGTCTGGAAAAGAGAATACGCGAATACATGCCTGCCTGGCTAGGAAGAGGTGAACATCGATCGATTTCGAGTTAAATTCTCGTACATCTGATCAATACGAACCACTAAGCCGACGCTAAAGAAGCTTTTAAAGTTATCTACCGGGCACCGGCACACTACTCTAAAGGCCTGCGCAAACGGAAGCTAGCCACAGCCGAAGCAGTGGCCATTCGACTGGCGAACCCAGCACTCTGTTGTCAGAAGACGCTGACACAAACAGTATGTCTGCCCTGGTCGACTCCAGAGCGTGATCGCACGCCGTCCCGACTCACTGACAGCAGTCACACGCACTCACAGCGCCTACAATCTAACCGGAACCCCTCTACTTCCCTCCTCCCACCCCAACTCCACCGTTCTCAACACGTTGACTCCGTCATGCGGGTGACGTGGGAACGTGGAGTCTGATGAACCCTGCTCCCGAGACACATTTATATCCTGTCGACAATTAGACTGATCATTTCTCATGTAAATGTACTGGCCTGATGATGAATTACAGAAAACACATGCTTGCCAATTGACTCTTCAATTGTAATATGGGAATTTTCGCAGAATATCGAAGGCGTACTAATCGTTTTTCTTTATATTTAAAAAATAGATGAAGGGCATTCATCATTCATGAGATTTCTCTTGCTCCATTCAACGGAGGGCAAATCCTGTACCTTCAACGAGAAACGAACATTGACCATCTATTATGCAGCAGATGTGCCAACTCGTGAAACGTTAGTCGACATTATGAAGTGTGTTTTTGAATCGGAAAGATTGGTTAAGTAAGGTTGCAATGTTAATCACCGTGCAGCATAATCCGAAGGTATCTCAGTTACTTCGGCACGCTGGCTTTTGAACGGACTTCATCCCAGCCGCCTGTAAAAAATGCGCTCTGTAAAGAATGACTACTCAAGTAGAATGAATTTTTCTCATTGATTTGCGATGCTATTGTAAATTCAGATATATTTCATATAAAACATCTACAAAAATATTCATTCTTTTGCTAAGTTGGTAGGAAATTACGTCGTTTTCATATTTTTTACTTAAAGAAAGCTTATATTTCGGTTTTAAAAAGGTTTCTTATTATGAGATTTTTTATGACCGTGAAACACCCTTTCAAAAAGCATTGTGTCTCTGTTATTACTAATGTCAGTTGAAAAGTTTAAAATATGGCTGAGAACCACAATTTCATTTTATTAACCCTATATAGTCTCCTCTTAGCAAAATATAAAAACATATGATATTCCGTACACTGGAAAACACAGCTTGTAGTTTCGAACGGCGGACGGGGTTCAAAATGATTCGAGAGTAGAAAATGTTTTCAGAACCAAATTCTGATCTTCCTTCAAGCGAAAAAATTGAAAAGGATTTAATTTACTACCAAATGAGCAAAAGTTTGAATATTTTTTGGATGTTTTCTAGGAAATATATTTGAATTTAGAAGAGCGTCGAAAATCAATGGGAAAAACTCGTACTATTTGTGCAGTCACATTTTACAGAGTGTAATTTTTGCAGGCGGCTGGGAAAAAGCCCGTTCAGAAGTCGGTGTCCCGAAGTAACCGAAATGTCTTGGGATTACGTTGCACGGTAATAAATATTACAACCCTCCTTAAGTATTTTTTTCGATTAAAAACGTATTTCAGAATTTCGGTCAACATTTCATGAGTCGGCACATCTGCTGGAGTCCTGCAAACTCAATCAATTGATGACCGACTAACGTGGCCCTTCCAAGGACTGCATACACCCTGAGGACGGCTTTATTGAATAACTGTTTATATATATATATATATATATATATATATTATGATAGTGGGCGCTCACCGATCAGGTTACGGAACATGCTCGTTCCGTTGTGCCTTGGGGCTCATACTTAAACCCTCGCAGGCAGTCGCACAGCGACTAGTGATATATGTTGGAAAGGTAATACCGACAAAGACAAGGGAGACCGGAATGGCCATTTCTGGCTTATTAGCCGTCATCAGCCAGTCATACCCAACCCCAAGTGTGGATCACTTGAGATTCGAACCCGGGATCTTTGGTCATGGAGTTGAACGCTCTACCATTGAGCCACGGGCCCGTTGTCCTGTCGGTTGTGATCGGGAATATTAATTATGATAGTGGGCGCTCACCGATCAGGTTACGGAACATGCTCGTTCCGTTGTGCCTTGGGGCTCATACTTAAACCCTCGCAGGCAGTCGCACAGCGACTAGTGATATATGTTGGAAAGGTAATACCGACAAAGACAAGGGAGACCGGAATGGCCATTTCTGGCTTATTAGCCGTCATCAGCCAGTCATACCCAACCCCAAGTGTGGATCACTTGAGATTCGAACCCGGGATCTTTGGTCATGGAGTTGAACGCTCTACCATTGAGCCACGGGCCCGTTGTCCTGTCGGTTGTGATCGGGAATATTAATTATGATAGTGGGCGCTCACCGATCAGGTTACGGAACATGCTCGTTCCGTTGTGCCTTGGGGCTCATACTTAAACCCTCGCAGGCAGTCGCACAGCGACTAGTGATATATGTTGGAAAGGTAATACCGACAAAGACAAGGGAGACCGGAATGGCCATTTCTGGCTTATTAGCCGTCATCAGCCAGTCATACCCAACCCCAAGTGTGGATCACTTGAGATTCGAACCCGGGATCTTTGGTCATGGAGTTGAACGCTCTACCATTGAGCCACGGGCCCGTTGTCCTGTCGGTTGTGATCGGGAATATTAATTATGATAGTGGGCGCTCACCGATCAGGT